TTCGCATCGATCAACTTTGCCTTGGATTCGCAACACTTGTAATCAACGTGAGTTTGTCATAAACTCACCTTCTTCATGTTCTGGTAATGTTATTTTCGGTTTGCCCGAGTGCCGCTTCAATGCACTAACTTGGCCGTATAAAATCGGTATGAGTATCCTTGTCGAATTCATTCGGTATGCATATATAATACATGAATTGGCGTCATCCGTGTCCAATGGCAGTTCGAATACAACATATGCACATGCGATTATCTAAACTTAAGTGTGATCTCTAACAAACGGGATAGATACACATCAGACCTCATGATCAATGATACGACAAACAAGTATGGGTTTCGTTTGGAGGTCAGGCTAACAACCACTTTAGCAGGCATGAGAATAAATACCCAATACGATACGTTTACGTTTTCTTCAACATTTAGATGTGACAGCCTTAAATTTTGGGCATACATATTTGAAGGAACCCGATATAGCAATAGTGAAGCAACTGCTAGGTAGAATGATAAATGAACTAGTGGTACAGTGAAATAGTGTGCACTTAGGTGTTGCCGTCTATATGTACGGTCTGTTTTGCGTAGCTGATGGAGGAGATCGCACAGTATGCGAATGTGATACAGTGTCTACTTCTGACTCTCCGTGTCGCCCATAGGTCCGGTTATCTGCTGACCGATGTATGTGCACATTCTCAAGGGACGATTGTGGCGCAACGTTTGATATTGACAGGTGACACCAACTAAGTCCGGCTGCCCACTGTCAAACATGCGACTTTTCAAACAGTGTTCGCATTGTTTTGCAAATATCCAAGTACTCAACTGTTTGTACACACCGATGTGTACTCTGCTGTGATCATAAACTATTTGATAAAGATCAGCATCGTGCATCTCCGGGTGCAGCCATTTGGTGCTCATAAGACGATTGTCGTTATGCGTCGATTCCTTTCCGATGTATTATACTAATATACTGATGTACCATTCCCGTCGGGTTTAACATTTTACTTAGTCTATCCAACAGAATGGCCATAAGCAATGCAAATTTTGGTAGGCGTCTCTGCGCGTCTGCATGTCATCCGCTTAGTACGTGCGTTTTTCATAAGCCCCGGTAAATTCAGTATGGCTGAGGGACAACTGGAACTATAACTAGGCTCACTCTCATCACTAGTCTGTGGAGTGGAACATGAAATGGAGACATCGTGATCATCGCTAGTCGGTTAATTGTCGGGATTGTTCACTTATCCCAAAATTTTCAGGGAAATTTCGCTTCGAATGCATAGTCTAACGTGGTCATGCGAAGGACAATCGTTAAGCACTGTGCTCCAAATGTCAAAATTTCTACTATATGCGTAATGTAAGCGGCCAAGCGCTGGTAACCTTGTGATTCAAGCGCATTCATCGAACTGGAGACATTCTCAATAATTTGCCATCTAAGTATTGATCCGTATCAACCACACGATTCGGTCGGAAACTCAGCGCACACGTCAAATAGGAATGAGCTCATGGATGGACTGAACCATTATTCTGCGATACATCGGCTCTCTAAGCGTCGTGCTAATTAACAGTGGGCAGCTGGTCATGCTAGGTTCATGTAATCTACAAGGAGCAGAATGTAGATAACATAGTCTGGTGAGTAATACCATGGAGCATACATAGTGATGTGAATCGCGGCCGGGTAATACTATGAAGAGGAAGACGCCGTAGCTCACCGTCTCGGTAGTGTGTCACCAAACTAGACTCCACTTGAGAAGGTAGCAACAATAGCATTGGTCACGATGAGTACAACATGGTAATGGGTAACACATGAAGTCATTGCGAAATACAACCGATTTAACTAAGCCTAATCAAGGTACGTTTGATGTGGCTCATCCGTGCTAGGCAGTGGAAAAAAACGATACTACATTGCAATAAGTCAGTAGTTAATCATTCTATACTGATACTGTACCCAAGCGCGACTTACATACGGGATATAGAATAAGGAAGAACATAACAAATTTGACGGTGATGGAGTAAGCAACTTTACAAGTTAACAGGGAAATGGTGCGATTAAGTCTACTGGTATTCCTAAACTCAGCTAAGTTAAAGTCCGCGGTGAGAGAACGAACGGGATTTATAGCTATGCTCACTTTAACAAAGATGTAGAAACACAATGGAACAGTGATGACTAATCGTTGATGTGTGCTGTGAATGCCGTCTCCTATGTTATTAACTGCAGGCTATTCGTATCGGAAGGTAAACCAGAGCCGGTCCGGTCGTCTCATGTGCGAGACTCAACCGGGATGTAGAACAACCAGGCAGTCTATCGTGTGTTACTATTTATTTCCCCATGGTCATTCGTTCTGACCGCTAGCATATCTCGACCAATTCATTAGTGCCTAGAATGCTACCTGTGCCCAAGTAGTTCGATTTGGATGTCACATCGTGTTGCCGCTGTTCTGAATTGTCTGAATCTCAGTGCAGTACAAGTGGGTGTATAGAGGCACTTGAGATGGGAGACATTGACCCCATATTGCAACCCGCAATAAGTCACGGTGTCACACGAGAATAAATGTAATAATACCCATCTGTCAAGTGGGAACGTAGCGAGACACGAACAGATGTTAGCGGGACTTGTAATTTGGGCGAGCCCCAGTTAGACATCAGTCTGAAGTGTGGCGCATATAAGTGCTTCTAAATGGCTTCCGCATAGTCATTCAACAGGAATATAAGAGTAACAGCCATATTCCACTAGTGTTGGAAGATCTCACGCACAATACGACTGTCGTTGGTTAGCGTTAAGGGTTAAGCTGCAAATGGCAGCCTTAAATTTAGTCAGAAGTGTGGGCATCAACAATAGATAGAGACAGATATGGAAATACGGAAGTAAATGCTATCAATACGGTTACCAGATAGAATGATGCGCAAATAAATGTACCGTAAAACACTGATGACTTATGGTTACCGTGTATTGTAGATACTGTCTGCTATATGCGTTAGTAAGCGATAATCTCACACATTCTCTGATGGCCCCTTTGATGCTATCACATCACTAACACACCCAGTAAATTCCGCTGCTCCCTGTTCTACCATCGGCTTTCGAAAGAGTGTGCAAACTGTTTTAATCAATTTACAAGAGGTAGCTTAAACAATATCCAATTACTCAACCGTAAGCAAATGTGGCTGTATAATCTACTGTGGCGACAAGCTATTTATGTAAGCGACAGATTCGCTTGGGGCTGGAGTGCCACGTAACAACTCCCTTTGTCCAATCAGGAAACAAAGCCGAGACGTTACCTGCGGTACAATTAAACAAAATATAACTCAAGCGCAATATGTACATACCTCAGTCCCAGAACAACCGGATCTTTGCAAGGCACAGAAGGAAGGCAAATCACCTCAATTGCTACCGTTCAACACGATCACAATACAAAGTACTGCGCTTAATCGGCTCGCCTATATAAACGCATTCAACAACCGTACAGGATTGGTTAGCTTCACACCGCATCGAATGGTGGGTATAGTGTGTCTCCGGGCCAATGGGGAATGAAGGGAATAACACAGTGGATGACAACCAGTGACTGGAGAATATCTCAAATGGATATGTGGTAGGACACCTGGGCATGTTACACAGTATAGGCACGATGGTATCTAACAGCGGGGTTTGGAATGGAACCACTTAGACATGGCTAGGAAAACAATGAACGAGCAAATCTCCATACCCATGGTGTGATTTGCAATGAAGACATTGAGCATTGCATAGTTAATCGCATGGGGGTAGACAAATAATGGGTATCAAGAGCCTCGGCAGATGGCGCAGATAAGGTGGTTAGCTGAACGCATCATATTCCCATGCAGCCTACGTTTCTCATCGTAATTTTGCCGTTTACAATTTACTAAATGTGACATCATACATATTGGTTGGAGCTATTCTTCGCTACAAATAAACTGTCTCTGTGTGTGGATTTATATTCCAATTAAATATGTATTTAAACACTACCGTACCATCACAGTTGGACTAACCTACTTGTGAGTCAACATAGATGATTGGTCATTTCTAATTCAAATTGTAGCAGGCACATTTGTTCTTCCGCAGCTTATCTCAATAATAGCTGACTTTTCCTAACTTCAGTATGAGCGATGCATAGCGAGAACTATAGCTACATTCATCCTTGTGACAAATATATGCAACAGAACATGTGGTATCCACATCAGCATCTTACTCGCTAGTCAGTTACTTGCCGGGATTATTCAACTTACACGGACGAACAAACGTGTGGATACTTTTAACAAAGGTTGTTGAGCCTTGAACACCGAATTTTCAAACTGCATTCCAAAGCGAGGAAGTGTTGTAGAGTACTTGGGCTCCAGGGATACTTGCTGATCGCCACACCCAATGGTCCAATCGAATGCATGAACGAATGTGGAATATTGGAAGCAGCAAACGCTTGGTAGCCGGGAGTTAACGCGACCCACTCATATATATATATATATATATATATATATATATATATATATATATATATATACCGCACAAATGAGGGAAAATAGGTAGCTTTCGTTGCATCTCCCTGACTCCCAAATACAATGCAAACCCGAAGGAGTGGGAAGCTAACGAAGCCCAAATGCTAATTCGAAGTCAAACTACACCCCTGAAACTCTCAGCACATGGATGCGCGCCATACGCACACGAGGTGGTGGATGGCCCGCGGTCCATTCCGTTACAGAATCATTCACTGCCACTAACACTGCTATGAAGATTGTGCATACAGTCTCCTCCAGGATTGACAAGCAATTTCCCGGATAGATTGATCGTGGCAATCATCCAACAAGTGGGTACCGTGTCAAGAAAAGTATCCAGTCCAACTACGCCTGACATATCACTGGAGGAGTGGAAGGATATGAAGACACATGATCACCCGAGAATTCGAGTATAACAACTACGGCAAAGATTTAACACGTGTCACTCGAGCCGCGACAGAAGCATGTGCATATTGAGGTAATAAAGCAATTTGAAAATGCCATGTTGCCTACCTGATCGCTCAATGCCAGAAGGAGTCCCTCAAAAGTTGTGAAACGTCCACTCAAGGTGCTGCCCGCGTACTCCAAATCCAGATCGGGGATGCGCATGGACGATGTATCCGAGAGAAACACGTCTCTGGATAGGTCCGTCGGGTTACCCAACTTGAGCCGGTAAAGACGTCCCTTTGGGTTAATTCCTCCGAATGCTTTGACTTCACTGTTCTTGTAACCGCATCCGGAACAGACTGTTGCCATAAGCACAACTTGTTTGAAGTGTGGAATATCTGTGCACAAAAATACAGCAATGGAGCTCCTGCGTAATGGGTTGTAAGATGTTGCACAACGAGAATCAGGGCTCCTGGGCTTACCAACCAACTTCAGTATGTGGATGGCGTGATGGGATCGTGTAATCAGAGAAGCGAGACGGATTTACGTGACGAGACAAGCGGCTAGCTTACTGTAAGCGAACAGATGACTGGACACCTACACGTCTCCGCCTATATGTTGATTAGCCACTATTGGCTGCGCTGGTGTGTCAACGCTGGAAGCAGGGTTGCCAGCGTATTAAAAACCAAGGAAAGTGGAAGACGAAGGGAGTCATACAACATAGGATAAAAAAGAAAACAATAGCTTCTAACTCCCCGTAAAACACCATATTCATCAGGAAGCTGGGAAAGGTGGCCGCGGTTTATGGAACAGTCATGCTTCAACCGCCAACTACTTGGTGGAGCCATATTATGCAACGGATTGAGCGCCCTATACCTGTTTAGACCTAAACGAGAAGCATAGTAAAATCAGCCGATTGCGAGATAAAGTGTCAAGCGTATCTAAAAGAACATTTTCTCGGAGCTCCCCATTAAATGTAACATTGTGGCACTGAGTGCTACCAGGCAACTGATCTCTGTAAGTAAAATACCTGTGCTGCCGTATTCATCATTCTCAACCAAACCCATAATTTGCCGCCGTCATCACTGAAAAATAACCCATCAGGGTCAACCCCATTGGTGTACGCCAATTCGTATGTAACTGCGAAGTTAGTTACACAGGTAGAACAGATAGAAATTTGAGTTCCCTAATGAAGCAAAACCTTCCAAGTGGATCCAATAGGAGACGACGCAATAAGCAAACCTAGCTTACGCTAAGCGTTCTCACAGGCTGCCTACATGTTCGATCGGCAGACAATTATTGACTGTAGATCATAACAATACCCATCACTTCAGTTTCACCGAGACTGTTGCGATAAACTGGGTCAAACCGGAGCATTGTGCTCCAAAGCCACTATCGGTCAGTATAAGATTGCCATGTTCGTAGAAAGGTGATCACAAATCTTTCTTATGTTCGTTTGCAAATTTGCACCATATGACACTTGTTGTTTATTCGGTTTTCGTTTTCAGCACTGAAGAGACGTTATGAAAGGCATAAATCTGCCGAGCTGTGTTCTCACTGTTCTTTTCAAACTAAAAACTACGTCAGACTAAGTTTGTAAACTTCCAACCCGCTGAAGTCGCAATTTATGAGGCTGGATAAGTGTGAGCACAGTCGAAGCTACAATGTGGCCAGTCAACCGTTGCATTCCGCGCCTTTCGTGTGAGACCTCGGTGTACTCTCGCGCTACGACCTAAAGTCCATGAAGAACACGGACAGGCTTTACCGAAACGGCCTTCGTATGATTTGGACGCTTAGGCGTAGCTTCAGTAATTGGTCCGAAGAGATTGTCGTCTCTCTTCGTCTCAATAATACGACCAATGGAAGAGTATTGCTCTCCCGCGTATTGTCCTATCACCCGGAGCGACGTAGAAAAGATTGAGCGAGTGCAGCATGTGGCCACCAGGCTGATTCCCAATTTAGGTGTGCCATACGAAGACCGGCGTAGGAAACTAGGGCTTTACACCCTAGCTTATCGTCGACTGAGAGCTGACCTCATCATGATGCACCGGACATTACATCTCGGTGAATACCCCATGTTGAGGCCACCGCTGCATCTGCGCACACCAAGCAACACACGAGGACACCAGTACAAGCTTGCAGTACCGGATTTGAAGCGGGTCGCTCAGCAACTGTTTCGAACGGAGAATGGTGAATGTATGGAACAACACGTAGTTGAGGCAAAGTCGGTGTCGGAATTTAAGTAATTCCTGGACAAACACTACCGATATAAAATATATCGAGCGCACTCCAACATAACGAGTGCCTGAGTGATATTAAGTGCAGCTACACATATCTCTTCTTGCTGCTTCCAACAAGTAATCAGGGATGAGTATAACACCACAGACGCATGTACAGTTAGGCGACAATTACGTGACTTCTTTCTGGGCACATGTGTTATTCTAACTGATCTCCATGTCTCAGGTATGATACTGTTCATTAGATATGGGTTAGAAGTGCTAGCTTAAGGTTCCGAAAGTGAGCCGGCGCGCACAGCTAGAAACTATCTGAATCGCTGGTTTTATCTAACCAGCATTTTATTTCCTAACAGATATTGATGTAACTAAAATTCGTCCTACTTTGCGTTGTAAACCAGATAGGTAAAAGCGCTGTAATTAGACAATTTTGTGGGGTTTTCGCGGAACTGTTGCCTGTCACCCGCAGAATCCCAGTGGAAAACATTGCTCTAGACTTTTCATTTTGGCCGGCTCTATGTACATGTTTTGCGAACCAGATTATGTGTTACATCTTACCACCAACGGTATAAATGAAAGGTATACGTACGATTCATGAGCCGTAGTTTCACTAGTGGCCCAAGTTGTCTCAACAGGACTTTAGTGTTTTTACTTCAATGCCTCCCACATTTTCATGCCTGCCCTTCATCATAGTCACAAAGAAAATTGGGTTCCGAGTGCCGCATTTCCAGTGAATAAGGGGGAACTAAGTGCACTTTTGTGGAGCAAAGGACCGGAAAACCGGTTGCGTAACACACAGCGAAAGTGCTGCGGGTATGGAAGATCCCACTTTTGAGTATTCTAAGTTTTCTGCGAAGCTACATCCTGAGAAATGGTTGGCGGCATCCTGTTCCGGATTTGCCTGTCACTGTGGCCAGCCACAGGACGCCTGCGCCTACAGAGGGACCATGGGTGGCTTGCGGTGCACCACCCACAACTCAATCCACGCACCCAATATCTAGAGTAAACCCGAAGAAATGAGACCGGAAGGCATGGGGATGGGGTTCTGAAAAATACGAGTCTGTTAAATGTGGTGTAGGAAAGCAAAATAAATTACAGGAAAGTTTGCTGAAACGAATTTGTAACTCGTACAAGTTATAAAACTGTGCACATGACACAACAAGGAAAACTGCTTATTGATCGCATTTTAAGCAAAGAATGTACGATGGAAGCAGACAATGACTTGTGTCCTGAGTAAGTCTATTGGTTTGGAACTAAAAGTTCAGTTGCGCGGAGAACAGAAGGATTTGGACAGAACACAGTGGTACTTAGTGCTACTTAGTTGGTGAGATTCGGATATGTGCACACTAGGTCCAATGCAACCATTTTTATTAGCGCTTTCTATGACAACATTTCTCAGTAAATAAATAATGGTTGTCATTGTTTCCGTGCATTGCACGCCGTGCACCGATGATTAACATGGAAGGCCTGACTACGTTTTGCGATCTCCTTCGTTTTTGGCTTGCAAGTATTGTATTAGTTGAGCAGTTCGTGCTCCTCATCTTGTCAGCTATCCGGCGCACAGTGAAAACGTGTTGCTGATGCGTGATCTAAGCCATTAATGGCAACGCAGAGACCCACTTGGAACATTCACCAAGTTGATTAGAAGGCATTTTATGAGCTTATCGGTATAATGAACTGTGATGCGTCAATCGCAAAGCACAACTCCACAACATTGCCAACAACCATATTGCCGCGTGCATCGATAAATTGTAGGTGAAACCCTCCGCAAGAAATTGCCACATAGTTGGACACAGATGCCGCAACACACAAGAACCTATCACTCTTGCTGAGACCATGATCCTGACCTCTGATTCAATTCGGGATCTGAGAAATCTAACTCCCATAATTTCTCTGAACAAGTCCTCTAACAAACCGCAGAAACCAGACAAATAGTCAGTTACATCAGTAGAAGTTCGTCTCTACTTGAAACCCGACTTGGGATATGTGAAATTGTAATGAGTATGGTACAATCATTCACAGCCAATAAGAAAAGAATATTTCTGGGAAATATCACTTGAAAAGGTAGAATATCTCGGATCACAACTCTGGCTTGCAATCTGAGGGCGCGGGTTCAAGCCTGCTTAAAGACCGGGTGACCCATCAGTAGCCTTAGCCAAGATGCGACTGGCGGTGGTTGCGCGGCAGCGTAGTGTCGGTACTGCGCACCGGCGTGTTGCTGATGATACTGGAATCCCCGCATGGTTGTTATCGTCATTCGCGCCTGGATTCTCTTTGGATGCGACAGTTGAAGAACAATCTCCTTCTCGCTAACATTATAAATAAGCGGATCTATACAGATATAACCAGCCGTGAAGCCAAACAGTTGCGGCAATGGGGTTATTTACTATTCGCATAACCTTAATGAAATTTCCCAATTTGGGGTACAAACTATGCGCGTGTGCAAAACTCGCGGCATTCCGAATACATCTAGAAACCTTACATACTATGCTCAATAGTTCACATCAATCAATCAACCTATATATATATATATATATATATATATATATATATATATATATATATATATATATATATATATATATGGAATCTGGTTTAAGCAACCTATGGATTGACAAAAGCCAACCATCCACTTATTCTGACTTATCATTATATATAGAATGTAACTTGCATCTGCGTCACCCACATATTCCCCTCCACTAATTGACGACAGCACAAGTGAATGAGCCGTAAGCGATTCGGTTGCTAATCTGCGAACCAAATGTTACATTAATTTCGTTAAGTGCAGGAGGTTAAGAAAATCCATGAACTTAGAAATATTTCTTGCGTCAAAGCATGAAAACCATAAGACCGACATATGTACAAATGATCGTGTACCGATTGTCGGGAAATGTGCAATTTTTTCATCGGTTTATTTAAGGAGTCGTCGAGATGCCTGAGTGGGTAAGGTGTCTACCATGCAGTTCAAAGGTCAGAATCTACGTAGGATCACGTGGCCTGAGCGCGACTGGTGACCGTCGTGCACGACGCATCAAGGGGTATTAGAATAAAAAACGAAAGAATTTCCAGTAGAAAGTAGATCCAACCATGTGCAAGGTCTGGTCAGATCCGCGACTACATTAATCGGAGCAAGTGAAGTAATGAATGTCGTGTCAGTAATGAAACGACAGAGTATTCAAACTTAGACACTGACGCCAAGGAACGTAGGTCTGACAAACTTGCGAATTCAAATGGTGACGTCGAATGAGAGAGCCACTCGAAATGATCGGCTTGCATTAAACTGATTGAGGTCGTTGAGCATGTGCACAGAATTGCACCATAGCTGGACGGTACATCTGACACTATTTCGGGATCGATCAGGACGATCGCGCTTGATGGAACAACAGATAATATACTGTGTAACCCAGCCGTTCGAAATATCGTGGATTTTAAAACCGAAAACAGCAAGACAACAAGCGCGCGGCATCTCGAAGCCTTTCAAAGCGTCGACGGAGTATTACGCCCTAATGTCATAAGTCATCCTCATCATGCCCGTTAGCTGCAGGTGGAAAACACTTCAGCTATGGTGCTACAATGAAAAAAGAAGAAAATCATGAGACAGAGGCACGCCAAACAAGGCAGCGGTAACGGATGTACATCGATCCGGACAGCTAACAGCCGGCTAGTGAGCTGCAAAAAAGTTATATTATACCTAATAAATGAGATCGTGATTGGAGGGGGAGGCTAAGCGGGAGGAGGGACAAAAACCTCATACCACAAACGTCATGTCAACAAGTATATCCAGCCAAACGTGCTCATCATCCTTCGGTCGCCAAACAGGGAGCCGAGGAGCTCCAACGGAGGCCAACTTCGAAGTAAGGGCCTTCAACACTATTGAATAAGTCATCGCTTGGCCACCCCTCCTCTTCTTATTCCATCCGCACCCTCAGCGCGCACCCAACACACGTCGCGGGAGTAGGTGGGCGGGCATGCGCAAAACGTGACTGAGTCATCGGAGAATGGTACGTGAAATAACGGTACTGAGCAGTTCGCTTCTTCTTCTTCTTGCGTAATAAACAAGGTATCGAACACCCATTGCTCACACGGTGTTCCCACCAGATATGAGCCAAATTGCGAAGACACCGGTGGTCGAAGGTAACTAGCCACTTTATGTCGGCTGATCTAAGGGGCCAGGTTTCACAACCGAACAGTAGGGTCGAACGTACGACTGCATCGTATACTCTGCCCTTCATGGAGAGAGTGATGTCGCCCCAGCGCCATAGGTGAAACTATACGTGACGAGAGTGGACAGCCTATCCACAATTCGTCAAAACGTTTGGAGCGTTGGGCTGAGCATTTTGAAAAACAGTTTAATCGGCTAGAATTGTTCGATTCTTCGCCGGCCACTGATCGCCCAGCTCCGTGGGCTGTCCCTTTGGATCCACCCTCTCGCTCAGAAGTCGAACGTGAGATCGGACTGTTGAAGTTGAACAAAGCCGCAGGACCAGATGATCTTCCTCCAACCCTCTTCAAATTCGGAGGCTCTGCTCTTGTTGATGCTTTGTATGAATTACTAGTGAAACGGTGGGAGCAGGAGACTGTCCCAACCGACAGGAGCCGCTCCGTTATTGTTCCCATCTTCAAAGGAGGCTCGCGTTCGGAATGCCGCAACCATAGAGGAAGCAGTCTGATCTCCATCGCCTCCAAATTACTTTCCACTGTAATCCTTCACCGACTGACTGGCGCTCGTGAAAGCCAGATTCGTGAGGAGCAAGCCGGGTTTCGTTGAGGTCGTGGTAGCATCGACTGTGTCTTTACCTTGTGTGACGTGTTGGAGCACCGTCACACATATTGGCGACCCACCGTAGTCGTGTTCCTCGACATCAAAGGTGCCTTCGATTCGGTTGATCGATGTGCCCTTTGGAATTGTCTACTCAGGAAAGGTGTGACCGAGAAATATGTAAATATTATCCGAGCATTATGCGCGCGTAGCACGGGCAGAGTGAGGGCTTACGGCAAGCTGTCGCCACCCTTCAATATCTCCAGCGGTGTGAGACAAGGATGCCCGTTGTCACCTTTCTCTTCAATTTCGTTATTGACTAAGTCATGGAAATCGCGTTCACAGGACATGAGTTGGAAGGTGTGGAGTTACTCCCAAGAGAACGACTTCTCGACTTGGAGTTTGCAGATGATATTGCCCTCTTCTGTGACAGCTCCCAGACGTGTCAAGCCGCGCTGGACAGATTAGCACTGGCTGTCAGCCGCTTCAGGCTTTGCTTTGCACCATCGAAATGCAAAGCGTTCCTCCAAGATTGGCAGGGATCGCCTCCTGCGCTGACCCTTGGTGGGGATCAGCTAGAAGTCGTTCAAAAGTTCAACTACCTGGGAAGTTGTATCAGCGCCCGTGGGATCGAAGACAAGATCATGAACCGGATAGCAAAAGCTCGAAGTGCGTTTGCTAACCTTCGCCACATATGGCGGCGGCGCGACATCACCCTCGCCCTGCAGGGTAGTGTACAATGCCGCGATACGTTCGACCTTACTGTACGGTTGCGAAACCTGGCCCGTAAGATCGTCGGACATGAAGAGGCTAGTTACGTTCGACCATCGGGGCCTTCGCAGCTTGGCTCACACCTGGTGGGAACACCGCGTGAGTAACGAGCGTGTTCGACGCCTTGTTTACGGCACAGGAAAAGGAAATGAACCGCTCAGCACCGTCATTTCACGCACCAGGCTCCGATGGCTCGGCCACGTGTTACGTATGCCAGCCCATCGACTCCCGCGACGTGCGTTGTCTGCTCACCGGGGATGTGGATGGAAGAAGAGGAGGGGTGGCCAAGCGATGACTTGGTCTAGAGGAATGAAGGCCCTCACTTCAGAGCAGGCCTCGGTTGGAGTGTCACGGCTCCCTGGTTGGGGTCCGAAAGACGATGAACACGTTTGCTTGGACACACTTGCTGATATGGCTAGAAGCCGACCTCAGTGGCGTTCATGCTGAGTTTCTTTGTGTCACCCCATCCCTTTTAGCCTCCCCCGCCACCTACGATCTAATTTCTTAGCGTAAAACCTAATGATTTTTCTTTTTGCCTAGTAGCCGGCTAGTAGCTTAACGGAACGATGCCCAACAGTTTCTGGTAGCTCAGCTGGCATGCAACTATCGTATTTATGTTACTTTTCCTTTATGCATTGCGGCACAGTAGCTGAGGGGTTCCCACCTCTAGCTGATATGTATAATGATGAATGATGATGATTAGCAAAAGCGCCTCGTGCTTTCGTTTTACGGTTGGTGACCTCGTCTTCAATTCCGATGGCGCTGATACAACTACCGAGGTAGTTGAACTTTGAACGACTTTTAGCTGATCCCCACGAAGGGTCAGCGCACGAGGCGGTTCTAGACAACATTGTAGGAAGAATGCCATCGGTAATAGTCTAACAAGAGTAATGATCAAAAGCACTCCAAGAAAACTGGAAGATTCGCAGTATGAAGCAGAAAATCAAGGTTACAGTGAAAACGTCAACGGCCATATATAACAATTTGATGCAATGTAGGGCTGTCAGGGGTTTGAAGGGCCGTGAATGTGTATACTTCATTCCAAACGTTCAAGTGAAGACAACAGTGGAGAGGATCACGGAAGGGTGTCAAAAGATGTTCATATACAGGGAAATTATGTATCGGCATAATAAGGATGGAACTCACTGACAAGTTTCATACGAGTAGTCAGCTGAAGGCTGCAATTAGGGCACTTCACGTTAAAGTTGAACACTTCGTCTTCATTTATTCGGTCCCTGGGTGACGTTGTTTTGGGGGCCTGTAGAGCGGGAAGATTAAACGAAGTATTTAAGGGAACGCAAGAACGATAAACTTCAAGTGTGGCGGCTGCCTTGGAAAAATATAATTCAAGGTTGGGTGGGTTCCTCATAGGAAAAATAAAAAGGCCGTGAGCACATATTTAACGTGAATGGGCGAAGCTCAAGAACTCACTAAGCTATCCAAATGTACCGCAGGATAGTGCTTGCAGCTATCGACAGGCATCAAGTGTTGTATTACATGAATGATGGCAAAGGCGCCAGTTTGCAATTATCAAGGGAAATATGAGTTAATAATCAGCGCTGGATAGGTTAAAGATTCCGTGAGACTACCTATGGCCGAATCGGGCATACGCAGCACCACAAGATAATTGAATTAGCCATGTAAGGATAATGTTTGTTCACTGTAGCTAAGGTACGGCTATGTTAAAGGGTGAACAGCATGATAACATAATAAGAACTAGCAGAAGCATGCATGTTGCACGACTTCATCAGGACCGGTAGCAATAAGTGATGAGGAAGGACATCGACCTAAGGGTGAGCGAAACTAAGCAGAATACCGTACGCCGAGGTAATTCGATGCAATCACCGGGGAAACGTGAAAGAGTAGATCAACACCGACGGGTACGTTAAAAAGAGTAAAAGTGAAACAAATCTGTGACAAAGCGCGATACCTTAAGCTTTTATGACATGACGGGTTACTTTTGCGACAGTCACAATCACTGAGAAGTGATAACCTTAATCGGCAAACGATTAATGCGTAACAGTTGGCTTACGGTCGCTACGAGTTGAAACCCGATTGCCTGTGACCGAACAGATGGCGCGGACTGTTTACAATGTTATGCAGGCATGCAAAGGAAGTCAAAAGGTTTAACGATAAGGTGATGTTTTCAAATTGCCCAGAAACCCTGACGGCGTGGTGAAATAGAATAATTGCAAAAGGAAGTTGCATCAAGGCGAGGAATGGAAGAATGAAGGTAAGCTCAATACGCCGGCACATTGTACCGACGCTAACGGGTCACGCGCAACCACCAAGAGTCGCACGTGAACTGGGTATACCGTGAGGTCTCCAGCACCTGTTATATAATCTAGTGGAAGAGGTGAAGTGGTTGAACATAGGGTAGCTAGAAATTAGCTCTTGCAAACAGGCGTTAAGCTGTGCATCATCGGTTAATAGGGTTTCTATGTTGTGCACATTAAAGTCTCTCGCGATGAGAATGTGACTGCATGATTTAATCGAAGCAAGCTGAAAAACGTGATTCAGTGTGGAGTTCATACGCGCGTGCGCGTGTGGTTTGCAACCGTAAGGTCACCGGTTCGAATCCACGTAGGGGCGGGCGTCCTTGCGGTATACTCAACCCACGCGCGACTGGTGGTGGCCGCGTGGCAGCGAAACGCCGTTACGGCGTACAGCTGGCGATTTACTACTATTATTAGAGACTGGCGGGCGGTAAATTACGGCTACATGATGTGTAACCTTGCTCTGCAACGATAGCCGGCACCAAAGTGAACAAGGGGCGCGGATTTCCGGGGGATGAATAACTTCACATCGGAAGTAAGCATCGTAATAGAGAATTACACTATCACCCCTGCCAGTTCTACCGTTCCAAAGCAGCGACATGCTATGTAAATTGATCACATAATCATTTATCTCAAGTTTTAACCATTTCTCCGTCATTAGGACGAGGTCTTGCGGTTGTGAGGCGTGACGTTCTCTAAGTTCGACCAACTTACTAAAAAGGTCTTGTGTGTTAGTGCACAAACAGGGTAGTGTACGGAGGTTAGGAGTGTTTTATTGCATGTCAAATTCGTGTTTGATTTTAAACCGATAGTGGAAAAGTTTCTAATCGTACGTTGGTGGGTTATTGGTTCTGGAAATGCAGTCGGGCTGCCTCGCTTCACAGTGCACTCCAGATCGCGATGTACTGCCGCTCTGCCCTGTCGGGTGCCGCGAGTGCTGTCGTGCCGGTGTCACCGCAGGACTGTGGAGACAAAGGATTTACTACTTTTGCAAGTTATAGCGAATTGCTGACCACTCGTGATTGTCCGCCTGCTGCTGGATCTCGGTTGGCAACCTGGAGACACTTCGACCAGTTCTTCAATAGAGCTTCCGCTATGCTCTCGAAATGTAGCACCAATTTCATTAATCTTGGACCACATGCCTTGGAGCTTCGTGATGAGGGAATTCTCAGCAACGATTACACGACAACATTGTTCAGCAAGAGTGCTTCGAAAATGTGGCTCCACGACACTCGGTCTTGAGATTGCGCTTCGTGACCAGGAGAATCCGTAAGCTCGGGACACCATGAACAAATACGGTTTTCTTGCAATCGCTATAAGGAGGACCCCCTGGGCTATCCACTTTCTTTGGGCGATCTTTCCAAGTAAGATCGGGTAATATGTGCACCCCACTCGGTGAGTTGCGAAGACAAATCGATGAGAGTGGAATAGCCTCTGTCTCAGCTGCTGAGTTCGGAGTTACTCGAAGAACGAGAGGTTCACCACAGTGCACTGAAGTCGGGTGACGCGCTACGCACCTCAGCATAGTGGGCTCAATCTGGATACCAAATACGTCGCAGATGGAATCCCACTGTTTGTGAGTGTCTAACAAGTTGCTCTTTATTGTGCCAGTTCGGACTCAGGAACATTAGTGCACACGAGTTAACGCAATGTGGTTCCGTCTAGCAAATGTGGACTGTCTAGGAGTCGACACCGGAGGTGGCAGTGAAAGCTGAGTCGCTCCGCTTGTGCTCGGTAAGGAAGATGTACTTACGGATGTCGCACCTGGTATGTTTATCAAGGTAGAGGGTAAGTGATCTCCAAATTCTTGTCACAGTCACGCGTTCGTCCTCGGTCATGGTAGGCAGGATTATCACGGGAATGATGCACACATAAACGCAGATCGGTTGTTTAATCCATTGGCGGTCGTTCGTGTAAATTATGCTTCCTGGAGTACCTTGACGTGGGTGGATGACAGCAGCTGAGATACAGGTGGGCGAACGTGTTTAACACTCATAAACTGAGTCGTAGCCGCCCTACAAATGGTCCCGTAGGAGTATTCACTGAAAAAGGATAGCGCGGAAAATCCTTTATCCAATAAGCGTTCGCAGCAGTTAGAGTTGCAAAAATTAACAAAGATGCACGCGTGAATCTGAACAGGAAGTACGATCCTCAGGAAACAATTCCATAAAAAAGTGGCCACTGAATGCGGAAGGCTAATCCGAATGGAATGAGTGTACGATGATTGCGCCGGGTGAAGATGGAGCAAGGAAAACACTTGATAGAGAAGAGCGAACTAGCTATGCGACTGCATAAGTGGCCAAGGTGCAACTATGTTTGGAGACAATACTGATGAGACTGATGCCACGATGATTTCCAGAAAGTCCGTTGTCCCATTCTAACTAAGGGAATGATGGCTAACAGCTGCCACTCAGAGGGCGCACCTTCGTTGTGACGAACTGTGTTGAATAAAGTGGCTGAAGTAATTCCTGGTGAATCACTGCCGTTCTTCAACAACTGCAGTGGATGCTCTCCTGGGTCTGAGAGAGCCCTCCTTTGCAGAAGCGCACAGGAAAGTAATTCGTGACCAAACTGATTACAAGATTGAACAGAAAAGAAGAGACAGAATATGGTTGGATTGTAAAGTGCAATTACAGTTTGGATCGCAATGCAGATTCAAGCGAGCAGAACCGAACGTAAAGCTACGGATAAAATAGTCTAGGTGCCCCTTAATGCTGTGAATACACTGAAGGCGTTTTACTTCAGTTTGTGACGAGGCTTATGGATTGTTGAAAAGGTAAATTTCTGTCGAACGCAGGCCGGAAGCGCAACGAAAGAGCATGAGTAAACATACCAAAGGAAAGTTTCTGGATGAGGAAGAGGAGCAGGTTACATTGTGCGTGGGTATGATACAATTCTAGGAATCGAAGAAGCGTGAATGTTTTCAATGGGTGTGCTACAGGGGAAGGAACAAGCGTGTTTCGCTAGGGTAGCTGTCTCAGAAATTAGTCGCAGTATTTAGATAATCCTTGAAACTATGCACGTGCGTCAAAAACAGTGAAGTAGTGCTCGTTATCATGCAATTATCATATAAGCTACGACTTTATTAGTAAGATCTTACGGATAGTTTAGTAAAGATCTGATTGTCAACAGAATTCTTCAAGAGCAAGACACCCACAACTCATCGAGAACATACGATCACAAATAGTTGGCTATCACATGGCCTGCTTATGACCAGCATCACTACGTGTCATGAGTAATCTCGCCGCACAGATAACTACTCAGCACAATATATATGCTGAACAAACGCCCAGGCCGGGAAATGACATAAAATACACAAATGTTACCAATTGCATGTCACGTGAGTCGATTGTGTGGTGAATCGGATGGAACACAAAGCAGGTGGCAGCTAGTAGGCAGTCAGATGGTGGGTAAACTCACTGCTAGATCGATGACTTTCCACAAGTCCAACAAGCCCCAAGGTCCGGTAAACAAGACAAGACTTTACTAGGTAAGTGAGTGAATCAAAGTAACTTATGCAGTTTTATGTACCAAGCTAAACCGACCATATAATGTGCCCGTGTATCCCATTGTTGCAGACAACACAACTAAGGATCTCGTTTTAGGCGGAAAAGAGCAGAAATCTGGAGAGTTGCCCAATAGCGGATAAAGGGAGCAATAGTTCACTGTTATAGAGGGCAGTAGTATCCACTGCTCTAGATTCAACTTAATTTAGGGAAAAGAAAAAAGGCGAATAGTTTGCAAAATATGGCATAGAAGCCAATCAATGAAAGGGATTAGCGGGTTGACAGTTACATAATTTAAGTGTGCTGACAAACCGTTGCAGAGGCAATGAAGGTAATTAGCAAGTTACAAGGTAAAAGCTCATAGGAACTCTGTCGTGTCAGAATAAATAAAAAGGCACAAAAATTATTATCAAACAGAATCGACAGATCAAGAACGAATGGTGATCGGGGGAACAAAAAAGAAAAATCAATCCAAGCCTGATTGTTGATAACCTGAAGGTGGCATGGAAAAGCGCCTCTCCTCATAAATAAAGGATTGAGGAAAGAGTCTAAAAGTAAGGCACTCACCGCAACAGTTGACAGAACGCCAACAGATGCCTCACCAACGACATCCGGACGAATTCCAAGAGTAGCATCCTGCTCCGGAGTTCTTTGGTACAACTTAATCTTCAACTGAGGATCGGTGTCTGGAGCAAGGTAGTTTTCAATAAATCCGTTTCCAGAAGGGTCGTCCAAAATCTATGGTAGAGTGAATAGTGAAGAAATCGAGAGGAGGAAACCAGGCACAAGTTCACCATACGGCAAGTTGTATCCGTGAAAATTAAATACGCTGGAAATCGGATTATGAATTGTGGTAGACGATACCACATTTCAGTGAGATCGCCAGCCACGCTTGATTGTTGCCAAGTGTCTTCGGTGGCATGTATCAGTTGAGTGGTTAATAGCCAAACAAAAATAACCACTAAGTTTGTTATGAGGAATTCAGATAATCTTACAATACCGCAAGAGCTGCGCTCTCAATGCAATGTGCACTTTTGCGAAGTCACAAGCGCAAGTAAACAAAGTCTGAAAACTCAACCCAAAGGCATCGATACTTCGCTGCCTAAGCAATCGTAGGCTGTTTTACGCGCGCTAAGAAACTGCAGAAAGGTCCAGAGCCAGGTGGGAGCGGAGAAACCAATCCCGGAGGTACAGCTTGCAGTTTAAAGGTGAAGCCGCACAAATACGCATGATGCTATCACGTAGCAGCCAAAATACATGGAAAGAGATGCTCCAGACTCGGTGAGCACAGTTACCAGTGCATAAATCAAATGCTCGAGCTTTCTTCAGGAAGACTCATTGTAAGTTGTTGCTATGAGACAAGCAATACATTTGCGCTGACACTCAATTTAGTACATGAATCATGACTAATATTGCCTGGTGAACTTTGGTATACCTATGAAGGATTATAACACATGCTCGCCTGTGAATGAGCCAGCCAAAGCGCTCCTGATTGAGACAGGTCTTCTCTCTCTGGTTGGTTGCCAGTTTTGTGATGAAGTTTCGTATTCCAACCCGAGCGTGAGGCTTCTCTCCTGGAGGTATATTCCTTCGTCGCCCACTTAGTGACCGGGATTCGTGAAGTCCGTGATCCATTAGAATTATGCTCAACTAGTTTGTCCTTTGGCGTTATGGAGACGGTTATTGGACACATTTTTGGGAAAAACATTCGTAGTTACCGATTTGTTTCCTTCCGCTGTCGCATCATCATTCCGGTAAGTTCATTGGCTGCTTGTAGTCACTGTTTCTGTTTTTGGATCGCAGTTAAACTAGGCTGCTAACACTCTCTTTTTGTTCGTTGCGTGCCTCTTATCGGTTCCTTTATTTATTACTCTTCATCGGCTTCGTTCTGTTTGTATGCTCTTAGAAATATGGTTGGCTTAAATGTCCTTTAGTAGCAGCCATTCAGTCTATCCTCAAGGCTATTCAAAGAGACATGATTCAATGCATACAATTCTTTCTCGGCTGGTGTTTGGAATTCTTATTGAGGTCGTGGGATGAAGGTATCTACTGTGACACAACATTTTCTGGTGATGGAGGAGTGCGAAACCGTCAATTGGTTTGTATGGATACGAGGGATGATCAACTACGATCTGTGCATCGAAGTGTAGTGGAGCCGGTCACATTAGTTACGCAACCAAAAAAGACGGTACTGCAGTAGATGCAGACGAAAGCATAGAAAGGTCACATGGAGTAGTTTATAGTTGCAAACAGAGGCTGCTCCGAGGAGAGGATGGGTGCCCAATTCCACAAAGCTTAGCAGCTCAAAAGAACAGGCTACAGATTGTGGGTTCAGCTCGACTATCGCAGAATGATTGGAGAGCAAATGAAGTGCAATGACTCGCTACTAGGGAACGAAAGGACAACGGTCATAGCTAGGGGGGAGCAGTCAAATATCACTTGTGGAGGACTGCGTTAGAAGCGCCACCGCGCAGACGGTAGAGAAAAGCGAATAAATTATACTAACCTTACTGAGGTGGTGTGTGTACACTATCATTCGGATAATTTACATATTATTTTAGTACGATAGAGTTGGAACGGATTCACTGTCCAAGGAAATAAAATTTACAGACAGATTTCAGATGCGATGGCCTATCAGGAAACATATTCGGCAAGATGAGTAGTTGTGCTGTATCGGTAAACAGGAATCCCAGCGATACCCGTCCATCTACCGGTTCGCAGATGCTGCAAATCACCTTCTGTTAGATCTTAAGTTCAATTCGTTTAGGTTAGACCAATATGATCCGAGTATTGAACTGCGGTGGAGCCAGTTGCCACGACTGGTCCAACAAGATGACGATGCTTAACAATGGTGAGGGCAATGAGTCGGAACGAAAAGCAAAGGTAGTTAGAGGACAGGTAAGGTTAATGTGGATAGAACACGAACAGGTAGATGCAGAAAACCGATTCAAGAGAACCATTGAGCACGCCATTTAACTGCTTTAGATAAATTTTCCGTAATGAGACTTGTACTTAAAGTGATGAGATAGTTTGTGTCACAGTGAGTTATTGAGCTACGCTGCGGGGCACTCACCCAGTGGAAGCAGCGCCATTCCTACCAGACAGAACGGGTAGAGGTAAGACTAAGCCACACAATCCAATCCTCTTCGGTAACGGAGAAATCATGGCCCCCTTCATTTAAGACAGCCATAAGAGACAAGTCTACGGATTAGAAGCCCACAGCTCGCGCGCCAGGCACTGTCTGTGACGGTAAGAAGGCACTTTCCGGTGTTCAATATGGTTTGCTACTGCCCACATCAAGTCAGGGGGCCCTGCTCAAATTGGTGCAAAACAGCCAACTTCTACCCGCAGCTGGCCGTGGTCGCAGGTGCGTAACATAATACACATGTGGATTGCACTAAATCTTCAGAGGCTGTGTGAAAGGTGCTTCGAGCAGATCCCAACGGGTCTCTACAATCATACTCGAGAGCTGGACTTCCTCCTCAATGCCTTGTGTGTCAGACTATTGAGCCAAAGTCTCGGGATGAAGTCCCTCAAGCGAACCTCCATGTGTCCACTGCCTTGTGGGTCAGACTGTTGAGGCAAAGGCTAGAAGTAAGGCACCTCAGACAAAACCCCTCTCTCGAACTGTGCTACCGAATAGTATCATCTGCCTTCTTGAGCCCGTCGACCATACGACCACTTCTTGTTTTGGCTTCCTATCTCAACTCTCTTCCCCCTTGTCTACTGAGTAATCGACTTCTGATATCGAAGATGCTGCCATCGATACGTGTAGCTCTACCATCAAATCTAATCTCATTTCACATAGATTCTTTTAACGTTCGCACTCTGGGTCAGATCGGCCAACAGGCAGTGCTCACTCTTCACTCCATTGGTAATGATGTGTGCTGTGTCCACGAAACACGGATACAGGATACCAGCGTTGTAACGAATCTTCGACTTCCTGTTTCTGAATCTACTGACAATGACTACTCTTAGCGTTTCTGACGGTACTAACTCAATTGATAAAGGTATTCATTGTGTTGGTATCGTCCTTAGCAAACATGCTGAAAGTAATCTATTAGACTGAATGCTGCTGAACAGCCGCATTGGTGCTGTTAGTCTTCGAAAATCTAGTGGCGTTAATAAGCACCGTCTGAAAACTAGGTGCCCTTTCATCGCCTCTGTTAATGTCCCTAGTGACTGCAGTTCGGAGGGTATCAAAGATGAATGCTATCGTGGACTACCATCACTTCTTCGCATGGAGAAAAATACGGACATTGTGATTGCTGTAGCTGATTGAATGCTCAAGTGCGTCGTCTTTCAAAGTATGAAAAACACCTGGGGGGCCACTTCGGGATTCATGTACGCCCAAAAAACAATGGTGATCGATTCCTGCGACCGTGAGTCGAGCACAACCAGTACATTAGAAACACTGTTTTCCAGCACACACAGTTTACAGTTCAACAAGATCATAACGAACTGGCGCACCAATTTCCAGTGACGAATGCGGTTGGTGAAGCGAACGCGGACTAGGATGGTCCAAAGTGTGACATGAAGTATGCGTTTGACGCCTGCTCTGCACCCAAGTTGAGACCTCGGAACTGTAAGTGAATCTCTGAACCATCGATGAGTTTGATCGAGACGCATAAATAGGTTCCAGTGGGCATTGAGTTTGAGCATGTCTTTAAGGCCAAGAAGCGACGTCTAACAAGTGGTCTACGAATCGATCGAGAAAGTTGATGGGCGGAAAGGGACAGTGAAATGGAGGAAAGCAGTGCTATTCCAGCTCGGGCCCGAGAAAGCCATCAGCTGGCGGGAAATAACTGAGAAAGATGGACTGTTGATCCATTCTCAGCGTCAGCGACTAGCCGGTTGGAAGGAGCATTTTGAAGAGCAGTTCAGAAGACCGCTTGCCTTATCGTGTGAGCCGACGATGTCATACCTCTCACTTTGTATGAAATTCGACATGAGCTTACCGTGTTGAAAGGAAACAACGTTTCTAGACCGGACGATCCTCCTTCATATTTGTGGAAAGATGGAGGCGACTTAGTTGACTAAACTTACTGCGCTATTTAACACGATTTGGGACACTGAAGAGGTGCCTTCAGACCGTCGACTGTCAACTGTCGTGTCTCAGTTTAAGGGCTAGCGCAGTTTGCGAAAGTCATCGAGGCATTAGCCTTCCTTCCATTGCCTCAAAACTTCTCACAGGTATCATTCTCCGAGGAATTACTTTTTCTCGTGAGAACCAAACCACGGAAAGTAAGGCTGGCTCCCACTCTGGTCATGGTTGCATCGATCACGTATTTACTCTTAGTCTGCTGTGGGAGCAGAGACACATACAAATAACCGAGCATGGTGGTTTTCATAATGTAAAAGCCACGTTTGACTCTGCTGACGGCGCCAGCTATCCATGAAGGGCGTGCCAGCTAAACGCCTTTCTATTATGAAGTTTTAGTGGGATTTTCGAGGCGGTGTAAGGGTAACGGGAGACTGTTTCTTGAGCTCCCAAAGACAAGTGAGGTTCGCTAGAGTTGTCCATTATCTTTACAACCGTGATCGAAATGATCATCTGATCGACACTTTCAGACTCTACCGAAGTGGAAGTTCTACCAGGCGACCCATGGACAAACATGCAGCATGCAGACGATATAGCTCTTATTGGGTCTGAGGCAGTGACTTTGCAAGCACTACTGTATAGACTGACGCGTAGCGCCGCACGCTTCGGCATGTGCACTGCAACTTCAAAGTGCCAAGTACTATTGCAAGAATGGACCGGAACACCACCGGTTTTAAATATCCGCCAACAGCCACAGGAAGTGGTGGATCGGTTTACTTACCCTGGTACCCTTGTCACCTCTGGTGGTCACATCACTGAGGAAGTTACTTCGTGTACCAACAAGGCTCGTGTGGTTTTACAGGGGCCCAACCATCTATAAAGACGGCGGAAGATCAGTCTGGCAGTGAAAAGTTGGGTGTACAACGCTGTGATAAGGCCGGTCTTACTGTATGGATCGGACACTTGGCCAGTTCACAGTGTATTTGACCACCGGTGCTTGCGGAGTATTGCTCACGCCTGCTGGAAACACCGAGTGAGCATGGCTGAGGTCCGCCAATGGGCTTTTGACAAGAAGCCTTCTGGTGCCAAGCCTTCTGTTGCCTCACAGGTGTGTTTGTCGAGTCTTAATAGCTTACGTTCGCCAGGCAATGTCCTCCACATGCCGTTGACCGACTTTCTTCCGTGCACTATATGCCGTGGCTGCACCAAGTTGGGTGAAACCGTGAGGTGACCGGTCTTTGACGTAGCATAGAAGCGTGAAGAAATTGACTAATATACTTGTTCACGCTGGTGCATATCGTCTTCGAGATGGTGGCCTCAGGATAACGCATACCAATTGTTAGAGACCTTTTCGGACACGGCGCAGTCACGCAGTAAGTGGCGTTCCTGCAGTCGGTTTCTTATACCTAGTTGATCATTCTCGTTCTAATTTGATTACTCCAACGTACTTCTTCCTTGGTTACTTTTTGATTGTGTTCTTTCGGCATTTAACCCCACTATCTTACCATTGTTATGTGTTGGCAGTATTGGAGTATGAGCCGTGATAACTGGATCCACCGCACTTCGGCGCTCGGATCAGAGTTGTTCTACAGAACCGAACTGAACTGAAATTTTCCACTCATTCAGATGGCCTTCTCCAGGCCCTCACTCACGAAAACGGTAAGGTTCCGGTCAGACACTTCATGTAACGTGGAAGCAAATAAAATATCACGGTGACTTTACTAATAGTATATGGGACGATAAACACTACCGTGGGTTCACATTGGCAAATTGCGTACATTCCGCTTATTTGGAACTTACAAAAAACAAGTACTGCGGCTCAGTCCAGCTAATGATTCGAGCATTGGGAATTGGAGCACACAAGCAACACAGCTCGCTTCGTCACGAGGATAAACAGCAGTGATAGTAGAACGAGTGTAAAACGATGAAAAGGGGTCATAAAAACGCAAACCATGGCGGACCAATAAAAGGTGAGAGGCCGGATGGAGGAAAGCAAACGACTCCGAGACCGTGCTGGCAAGTAATGACCCAGACCACTGACTCCTGTTTTTGGCGTGATCGACAAGGAAGACGGTGGACACCAGTTTGATCAACGTGTTCATCAACCCCGTTATATCTGATCTTCGTATCACTGACTTCATACCTTTCGGCTTCACTCAAGAAGGCGCAAACCAAACAAAGGGTGCTGGGGAACATAACCAGCATGTATGCGAAGAATGTGACCTAGTAATATAGGCAAAAAAGTTCAACAGATAACTAGTGTGGAAGCATAGAGAGTGTTATCAAACATAAAGTGGTGAAATGTAGTGGTACTCATTGGACGCTTTCACTAAATACAAGCAATAGTTCACAGGTAACCAAAGTCAAAAAAGTACGCTAATCTCAATGTAGCTAAATCATTAAGACCGTTTGCAAAGTAGATTCCTGACTCGAACTGCGTGGTAAACTAGTTGGTGGTCCAATCACAAGAGAGATAAGATTCTCCAAGTAGATGAAGCAATCGATGATGACAATTAGCAGTGCGTCGATTCAGATCCGAAACAGTCTCGTATTATGAAGTGACAGCGAGCAGGCAGTGCGTGGATTCGGTAATAGTACACTCAACGTTATCAGGTTAACTAGAAGACACTAAATTGTGTAAGCGAGTAGAATCACCAATTCACGAAACCGCATCCAACTAAACGCGATAGATGAATGCTCATAGTCGTTCGCAGGGCCTGAAAAGTCACGAAGTGGGGAATCCTTAAAAGAGGAATTTTTCTGACGCATCCCGTATTTTATTCACCGAATAAGTCACATATTTCGTGTTACTGTGCAGCGTCAAATCTTTTGTTCCAAGACAAGCGAGCTTTAATCCATTGTCCTCGACAGTATAATCGAATTTATTTCTATTTAGAGATTATTAGAACGACCTTTCGCCTATGTGACCATCGGAACATATCGGTGCACGCATCGTCTCTCAACCGGAAGCAACCGATATTAATTAACAAAATTTTGTCTTTGGGTATTCACCCTCCACAAAAAATATTTGAATTCGGTCAGAGTGTGGTGCTTCCAGGTGTAAAATTTGTGCTATGGCGTTAGAGTACACACGCCGTTGTCGTCAAACGCAGTGCCTGATGAAGAGGTTTTCCGTCCTCCCAATGGCATTCGGGTAATGCCTTTGGAACTGGACAATCATGCACTGGAAGCGTCGAGTGTCGTACAATTTTCACTATTCAGATGTAGTCGTTGAGACGGGTCGGTGAGCAGACTACTGAGAAAACATCTTACTACGTCTGTTCTGCAGCCATCAAAGCTCGGCCTAAAAATTTATGAATTGTCTGTTCTATATATGAAGAGTGTGGAATCGGTTCTAACTACGGTCACAGTGCACGCCAAGTGGTTTCGCTGGATGCTTACATCTGAACAATAGGGTACTATGGGTGAGATGCCTAATGGGCTCGTGTACAAATGCGTGTTATTTTCTCTAGCTGCATTACACCACTCTCCTAGCAAGACTCTGAGTGGATAACGTGACATCGATAAGTATTGATAAAACTCTAGCGGTTCATCGTATTTCTGTTCTAAAATAGTGGCACTTCCAACAGCGATTCAGTTATTCCGCCTTAACGTCGCGTCCAGTTAAGATCATCGCCCATTTCGTGGTAGATCAACGCCTATGGTATTGACCATTGTTATCGTTTAGGAGGCATTAAATGATAGAGTAGATTCAGTCCATCTCCGCTCAGCGCAGTAATCGGATTAACGTTTCGTGTTCTATGTGTATATTTTTAGGGGAATTATTCCTTACAGATCGCCATTCCTGGAACACAAGTTGTTTCAGCACGCTTCGGGTTCACAGTGTTGCATTGGAGCAACAATGAATTTCGATTATATATATATATATATATATATATATATATATATATATATATATATATATATATATACGCCACAATCTGTGGTACCGATATCGTGCCACCGGATTCATGGCGGAATAAGAAAACAGGATTGGAAGAGTAGAAAAACAGACACCTCTTTTTGCTCTTTTATTCACTAAGATTTTTAGTTTTCAGTAGGGAAGGGAAATCATTGCAACACGGAGAGATACATGTCCGTCACTGAGATCGATCTTGGGTTATGACTTCCGGGGTCTCCAAACGGAGATAATCCATATCTCTGGAATCTCAAACAGAGAGTCGAGAACAAACGACCGAGGTTAACTGTTTCGTCAGCTTTTCATACTGCTTCTCCAAGCCGTAGGTTGTATACCCTGCCGCCTTCTCCAACCCTGTCCAGCAACCGCAGATAATACCCGAAGCGGAAGACGAGGAGTGAGCATGAGCAATATGTGTCCAAGCCATCGTAGCTGACACAGGGGGTAAGCTCCACCTAAGTTCCACATTGATTAAATGGTGAAGAAACCACACACGGGCAATGGACCGCAAACAATGGTATTCGAAGACAAACAGCCGGTGCAGATCAACGTTTCCAAAATGTCATGTCTCGTAACCGTACAACAGTACTGCGCGGACAGCCGCACAATAAACCCGCAGTTTGAGAGAGGGATGGACGTCATGCATCAGTCTAGAGAAAGCGAGATGAGCTCTTGAGATACGCATCAAAATCTCATCTTCAACGGCTCCACCAGCAGTGATTCCTTTCTAGGTAGACGAAACTCTCTACAACCTCGTGTTCCGCTGTCGAGAGTGTGGGGAGGTACAGGCATCTGTTTGTCTCGGAAAGGAGCTTTGCAATTGGATGAGGAAAAGCCATCCCATACTTTGACGCTTCAATCGTCAAGCGGTTAAGTGCACTTTGGACGGCCGATGGACTGCGACCCAGCAAGACGATATCATCAGCGTAGTCCGTCAACAATTCGACTACCTGGGTGAAGCTCAAGGTTAGCGTTTAACGAGTCTTCTAGAGCGCATTTCTGACGACATTCTCAATGTCAAAATTGAAGAATGGGGAGATATGGCATACTTGTCGAACACCATTGGTGGCAGCAAAGGAAAGCGAAAGCTTTCTATAAGCCCTAATTCTACCTGAGGTCAAATTGCACAAAGACAGTACGAAAACTAAGTTCCCGGGGATACCACTCCTCAGTAGACGGCGTCACAATGTAGTCCTGCCGACAGTATCGAATGCAGTATGAATATTCAGGAACACGACAATCATTGGCTTTTGGTATACATGACAGAGCTCAAGAATCTGGCGGAGTGTGGAAATTTGGTCGATACAGTCGCGACCAGGGCGGAACCCAGTCTGTTCTTCCCGCTGTAGAGATTCGCGAGTTATGGATAGCCTATGAAGTATAATGGACACCAGAACCTCGGAAACGACAGAAACCATGCTGATGCCCCCTGAAGTTGGAGCACACTGTGTGCAGCCTCATATTAAAAATGGGACTACTATCGACTCACTCCAAGATGATGGAGCCCCCTCTTTCAACCGGACTTCTGGGAAGGAAGCAGTGAGTTTTCGTACCAACGAATAGCCGCCGTCTTTAAATGGGGCGGAAGGTAAGCCATCAGGGCTAGGTGCTTCGTAGCGCTGCAAGAGGGGAAGTTCATGCCAGATTTCCCGGTGAGATGAGGATCTATGGAGACAGACCACTCAGCACCAATGAGTGCTCCGTGGGAAGTAGATGGAGGTGGAGGCCAGTAAGACTGCGAGCCAAAACGGTCAGCCTATTGTTGAAAAGTAGTGCTTAGTGAGCCATCCTCGTCGTAAATTGTTTCGCTTACAACAGATCGGAAACCAACTGTGAACCGGATAAGATGGAATTGTTTTATAGCATTAGCAGAAAGACTAGTGTGTTCAATCTCTCTAACGTTTACACCACGTTTCACGGCACTTTTGCAAACCGCGCAAGTCATGATCTAGGGACAGGCATTGTTCAATATAGCTGGCAGAAGCGGGGACCGAGCTGTGTCTATCCATCAGCGACAAGGAGACGACGGTGATCCAGCTTTACGGTGG